TAGTACTGTTAGTAGTAGTAGTAGTAGTAGTAGTAGTAGTAGTAGTAGTAGTAGTAGTAGTAGTGTAGTACTGTTTGTATTATTATTATTATTATTATTATTTTTAATAGTAGCAGCAGCAGCAGCAGCAGACAATCTCTGCATGAGTGCTTGCTTGTTCTCCGAGTGCTTTGAATTTGTAAACTCCGTGTCGCATTTAACGTTTCTACTTTCCCATGGTTGTCATATCAGAAGGACGTTCACGGTCATCATGCCGTTCCAACACATAATGCTTACCAATATCGCTTTCGTGTTCACGTTAAACAGCGTTGTCAAATTTTACATCATGTTTGCCTTTGTTGTCATTCCTCATCACCAGCATCAGCGCCGTCGTTCTCCGCATCATCGTTATCATTATCAGACCATCATCGTTTTTAGCTTCATCGCCGCGGATAGAAAGGGACAGATAACCCATACTGAAAATGTAGTCGGGTAGTGGGGCGCCCGATGTTGGTGACTGAGACGAGGACCTCTCAGAGCCTACACAAATCCTAAGCCCAGAATTTCTATATGGGGGTTTCCGAAAATCGGGGACCCTAACATAGTACCCTAAATAGTAGGATCCTACCCCTCATTTTCGGACTCCCAGATCCCCAAAGCCTAAACAGCCTGAGCCCTACCCGTAAAGGGGTTTGCAGCCCGAAACCCTAAACCCTAAACCCTAAACCCTAAACCCTAAACCGCGAAGGAGTCGCGGCGAGCCAGCAAGGACCGCCGGGACAGCAGAAATAGCGCTCACAGCGACAGCCTGGGCCTTAGCCGGTGGGCATCGAAAAGAGCTTTCAGCCCCGGAGCAGGAAAAATCGACCCCAAAAAGGGTTTAGGGTTTAGGGGTTTAGGGTTTAGGGTTAAAACCCTTTTCTAATCGTCAAGGCCCCTATATAAGGTCTTATCTCCGAGGTGCCATGTCTGACATTTCCGATGCGCCGGCGCTTCACACGATGGACCATACGCAGGTGGCAGAAGTTCATGCACTTAAAGGTCTTTTGACACAGCCCTTCCGGGTGTTTGGCTCTTCGAGTGCCCGAAGGCTTCCCTGCTTTGAGCATCTCAGGATCAAGGTTTCGGGTTTGGGGCTTGGTTTAGGGTTTAGGGTTTAGGGTTTTGGGGGCTTCGGAAATCGGAACGGGAGTTGCCGAATCAGGCAGGCTGTGAGCAAGAGCTAGAGCCCGTCTAGCTTCATCGCAGGTAGGAGGTCTGACTGATTGTAGTAAACCCCAAAAAGCTGGAAACCGGATTTAGGACCATTAGTGCTGGGATTCCCTATATACACTACTCTCAGGGATTGAGGCTATCGGGTTTCCGACTTTTGGGCTCCTACTGTAGTGGTAGCATCCCTAATGAGCTCTACCTTTGGTGTCTTGCCAGGTGTGTGCGCTGGCATCCGTGGACGAGGAGGACTGACCCCTAAGCCCAAAACCCAAAACCCTGAACCCTAAACCCTGAACCCTAAACCCTAAACCCTAAACCCAAAACCCTGAACCCTAAACCCCAAACCCCTTGACCCTTCGTGTTGGAGCTGGAGCAAAGCCCAGCAAGACTCCAGCCACCCCAAGCCCTGAACCATAAGCGGTAGGTTTTAGGGTTGAGAGAGTTTAGGGTTCAGAGTCCTCAACGCTAAACCGAGTGGTGCAAAAACACTTTCCCAAGCAGGCCAGCAAGAAGCAGGGCAATCAGCTTACCTGCGAAAAGCGTGCAACCGATATGAATCCTGACAGGCAGCTCGTGCACACATCTTCACAACATCTTTTGCAAATCTCTGTCTCTAACCCTCGCGTTTTCCTTTTGCCAGCTACTGAAGCCTTATCCTGATCCTAAACCTGAGACCGGAAACCCCAAACCCTAAACCCTAAACCCCTAAACCCCTAAACTCCTAAACCCCCTAAAAACTTATCCTAACGCTAAACCTGAGATCCGAAGCCCGAAACCCTAAACCCTAAAGACTTATCCTAATCCTAAGCTTGAGACCCGAAGCCCTAAACCTCGATCGCCGGCCAGGGCGGTGGCAAACAACCTCACCCTAAACCCTAAACCC